CATACCTAATATAACATCTACACACAAACCCACCTCTACTAGCCGCTGAACTGTCAAGAAAGTGATTCCGTCGATTGAAAATTCGCAGCGAAAGCGCGTCAGATAATATCCGATAATATTTGATATCTGATGCTATTTAATTTGAGAGGCGTAGACAGCAGAAGGCGCGTGCGATCGACGGATAAATTAAAAACAAATATGCAAACCTTCGAACTACAAAGCCGAACGCTGGTATTATACGCCAATTCTCAGACGGCGCACGTAACACACACACACACACCCACGCACACGCACACACACACACACACACACACACACACACACACACACACACACACACACACACATACACACAAAATACACATAACTATTAGGATGAATTGGCTAGACATCGCTATCGTGATTGTTGTTTCACCGCCTAAAGTTCGGAGGAAAAATTCGTGGCCACCACAAACAGTTTGTGGAGCTAAAAATTGAATAGCCACCACAAACCTTTTTGTTGGGGGGGGGGAGAAATTCTTAGCCACCACAAACAGTTTGTGAACCCAAAAATTTCTTAGCCATCATAGATAGTTTGTGGACCTAAAAATTTCTTAGCCACCACAAACAGTGTGTGGAGCCAAAGATTTCTTAGCCACCACAAATAGTTAGCGGACCTAAAAAATTCTTAGCCACCACAATCAGTTTGTAGACCAAAAAATGTCTTTGCTAGTAACACAGTGGTCCAGAAAGAAATGCTTAGGCAGCATAACCAGATTGTTGGCCAAAACTATCTGCTTAAGCCCACCGCACACGCTGTGGAACTTGCTGCGCCAACGTGTGGACGATGGCTCAGCAAGTTCCACAGCGTGTGCACATGCAAAATCCCTCGATCTGCGTTGTGTGGAAAATATCACATGTGTTTGATATTTTCTTCCACGTGTGGAAGATTGAACAGCGTGTGCGAGTGGCTGTGTAAATTTCCACACTCAATTCGCATTGTTTGCTTGGACGCATTGTATTTTTTTCTCAGCTCGCATGAGGCATGTCCAAGAACTGATCGATCAAACGTCGTGTGAACGCTCCGTGTCCAACGACGCTCCGTGTCAAAGCGAACAATCAAGAACAATGCGAATTGAGTGTGGAAATTTACACAGCCACTCCGCACACGCTGTTCAATCTTCCACACGTGGAAGAAAATATCAAACACGTGTGATATTTTCCACACGACGCAGATCGAGGGTTTTGCATCCGCACACGCTGTGGAACTTGCTGCGCCATTGTCCACGTGTGGACGATGGCGCAGCAAGTTCCACAGCGTGTGCGGCGGGCTTTATATCCAATTCCACCAAGACAATGGTTTTACACTTTACTTGTAACTCATATGCGGATGGGTCCGCACTTTGGTTGTGGTGTCTTAAAATCTCTATGCAGAATGACTCAGTGCTCTCACTTTTCTATTCTGGACTCTTGACCTATATTGTGTACACGAATATTCATGCTGCCAGCACACGCACTCGTGGCAGATACCACACACGTTCAATCACAACGTGTCACTGTTATTTGCATATTCATTGGTTATACCATAAAACATATGAGCATCCTTAAGGGGAGCTTATGTCGGGCTTGCGAGCCGACTCGACTGGAAGCAACTGGATTCCGAGCAACTGGAAGCGATCGGCAGTGACTATAGTTGCATCCAGTTGCCCACTGTTCTATTCCGAGCAACTAGTGGCTGCCAGTCGCAGGCAGTCGCGTCGCAGTCGACCGACCTAAGCACTGCAGTCGCAGTGAATTGCTGCCAGTTGCTTCCAGTCGAGTCGGCTTGCAAGCCCTACATAAGCCCCACTTTAGATCTGGTTTTAAATACAAACACCGTAAAAAATCTTCTTAGGAGATTGCTAATCAATAAATTGGCAAGTTGTACTTGTTTTATGAGCGATAATTTAAAATGCTAAACTGAAAATCCATAACTCGGTATTTTGATGTAAAATATCATTGTGGCAGTAAATAAAATAATAAAATCAGGAACTAATTTTAAAGTTATTGCGATAGTGATCATGTCGATCGTGACCATAATAAAAATATATGATCACGCATTCATATATGTAAACAATAGAACGATGAACATGCTCTCAATTACACATACTTCAGAAGAAAAACACACATAGTAATGGCGAGCGCAACAATTTATAACCACTGTAAGTAAATATGAATACGACCTGATTGGAGCTGCTAGCGTTTGAACAGCGGCACCTATTCGTTTATTGTCGCTGAATTGCGTTATTATCGTTATCATAAATATAAGTGGTTGCTAGCCAAGCGAAATATGTATGATTCCATTTGCATATACCATCACGTATACACCATAAGAATCGTATCTGCTCCACTGATTATGTTTTAATATATGTAGATATCACTATAGCTAATGCATTCATTAGCGTTCCTCCCATGCCAGTAGTAAATAACTGGAGTTGATAAGCGTAGGTTTATATATATAGTCATGCAGTCACCATATATTTATACTTTTCCGCGTATCTAATAATAGTAGAAATCGCAGATGGTCGCCATTGGAGCAATTATATGTTGTTGAAAGCCAATAACACAGCAGCATATATGTAACATATAAAGTTAAAAAGTTAAATCCCTTCCCGTGCCTATGTGGCGCATAGGGAGGTGCCTATCTCCGTTTCCTTAACCCGAGGCCACGCTGCTGCTTTCACAGTAAATACTACAGCGGGAGTAATATGTAACATATAACTGTCGCTAATCAACGATATTATTACATCAATAAATATGACACATGTGTGAAGAAGAGGCCTGGACAGCCTCTAAATATGACACATATGTTAATAATTTTGCAATAGATTAATTAATTATATGTCTGGTTTCTACCTTAAGTTGGGACAGCTTCCCTAGCCGATAATTACAAAAACAGAAATCATTTTATTCAAAATATCCATATGCGTTTTAATATTTATTATAATGGCGGAATGATCAGTGTGTGACCCCAGCACTAGTAACAAAGTCCGCCATAGTGTAGTTGCGGATATTTATCCCTAAATCCTGGTGTTATACATAATTAAAATGACATTACTGATGTGATTAAGATTTTATCGCTTCCTGTTTCAACAAACAAAATGTTTTCTAAACAAACACTGTGTCCACTGTAAACCTATTCCAAGCTTTCTGAATCTAAGCGCCCCTATACTTGATTGCTCTACGACGGCAAATGTATATTTATAAATAAACGTGCCAAAAATAAATAACACCAGTGTTTACAACTAGAAGATGCGTTGTTTGCAATAAACGCCAAATGTATTAAGCAGGCGGATGTCGTTACAGAGAGAGCTACCGACTTAGCAGGTTCGACCGGCGCCTTAACGCAACCAAGCTTACATCCCGAGTCATGCGCGAGTGTGAGCCGAGAGCCGAATTACGCTGGATGTACGGCATTCTGAGAGCTTGACGTATTAATAAAAATGCGTATCAGAGTAAAAGAGAACCTGACACGCTTCCACGCGATGCACGAAACTATGGGAGAGAAACCATTAGTCCATCGTCATTATATGAACACAGGGCAGAACTACAAAAGGCCTGGAAGCGGAATGACATGATAATTAGGAATAAACCCCATTTTAAAATCCTGTCACATTTACTCCTACGTATATTTACTTGTTGTACTTCCTAGATTGATTAACGAGTAAATGTGGATGCTACTGGTGCAATAACGCCATGAAACTTCGTATAGTCGCTATATACCGCATGGTACACGCGCCCACAGCGTTCGCGTTGAATTTAGTTCCATATTTTTAATTGACCCACGAACTAGCATCCCAGCCTTATTATGATCCTTAGCAATTGGTGGCAGCGTTAGATACGTGAACACGGCATTATTATAGCGCGAAGGTAGAAACAGAATTTAAGGTATATTACAAACAAAGGTAGAAACGGCAAGAAAGGTTGAACCTAATTAAACCATGCGCGAAATCATTCGCATTCGTCTGCTAAGTGCGCCTCCAGTTCTCTCATTTAGCCTATGTAAAAAAAATGTAATTGTGTGGCTAAAATTCCTTAAAATCATATATACCCCATAGCGCACATAAGACATATCCCTCGTCCAACTTGCACCTTATTCATTCGTGAAAATAGTAATAGCTGGCGCTTTTTACAACTTTTGGCAAAATAAAAAAATACTACAATAAATAATAATAAAAATAACAACAATAATAATTTTGAATGTTGAAATAAATTATTGTCCTGTGTGGTTTCTGCTATTTTCTTTTTCTAACATTATTGTTCTGAAAGCTCTCAAATTCCTTATATTTTCCTAAAAAATGCAATTGCGTTGAAGATTTTTTTAGTAGGGTCGAAATTTAGTTCGATTGGCGTCTCTCCACTTGATCTAAGTCGGTTCTGCACACCATGCAGCTACCGCTTGAAAATATTAATTATTTTTTTACTTTCATATAGGCCATGTTCTTCGCATGAATGTTTTTGCCGTGTTTATTTTAGTGAGTTCACCAACGACAGCCTAATTAGTGCGATGCGCAGACGATGCTAGTTGCAGCCTAATTCTGCACATGAGTTCATGATCTCTGTTATAAAACACACATTACAATAAACAACTGAGCGGCAAAATCGGCTCCAGGTTGTCGGCGAACAAAAGCATGAGTTATGAACAACGGTTTATAGAAATTGACACGCTTCGATTTGCGCGGTTGCGCGGTTTGCAGAAGTAGTAAAAACTAGGTTGACAACGACCATTAATTATCAGAGACACGCGTCTTTTTATCCGCCGAGGAATCCTGAGTATAAGGCTAGCTATAGTCTCGTACATACCTCGTCTGAGTAGACTCAGTCTGTAGTCGCCGTCGCTGCAGTTCCACCGCTCGCACGCAAACTGCTGCTCACACTGTCTGACGCTGTCTTTTACCGACTCCATGATTGTTTCCGCCATGCCATTTACCCGCCTGCACATCTTTCTCTGTTTGCTGCTCAGTTTGAAACTGTTACACAGCATAGAGTTTAACTCTTTCCCCGACCACTGCGGGCCCGTCGTTTCCTGATGAAGTCCCTCTGTGTTTTTATAATAGGGGGCTAAAGGACCACGAGATGAGATTCTGCAAAGAGACAATACCTGTGTTTACTTATGAACATCGTGCAACTGTCTTCTCGGGAAAAGACAGTTGTGGAGCAGATCTATCTAATTAATAAACACACAAAAATCCGTGTAACGTACAGATTGATAACTTCTTTCACCCGCCCTCTAGTACACACATAAGCATCGAGCCTAAATGTTATTTAATGATTTGTTAATTTTTAGGTGCAGTTTGACTAAGCATATACGCCTGGTCAATAAAGCGACTACAGGATGCATTTCAAGATCTGAACCGATGACAAGAAGTAGCTAAATAAAAAAATACGCGTGTAGAATGTACAAATACCAACTAACACATACACACACGTACTGAAAACTCTCCTGCGTATATTTTCATGCCAAATACAGATCTTCATAAATTACAGCTTTTTGCAATATAATAAACCAACACAAAACGAGGTAATTTAGTAGATATAGAATCGTGTTTATTTTATATATATATTAGCCTAGCTCCAAGAATCGGACATTTATTTCAAAACGATGTATGCATAATAGCCGCACCGAAGTAATACCAGCGACGAAACCATAGTTTTCCTGCATATCAGAACCAGTGAATACTTCGGTTCCAATCTAATTTTTAGTCTTGCTAGCTTGAAACTATTATATCGTAGGTATATGGATATAAGGTCGTCCGTGAGACGTGGTAAAGCCGATTGTCAAATCACCGAAAAGTCTCTTACGCTGACTCCCCGCCCCCTCCAACATGTGACTCAAATGTAGATGTGCATGGATATGAGAATGGACGGGTATCTGCAATCGGTCACGCCACTTCGTTAAGTACTCTGTGTAGTTAGTCTAGATATCAACTTCCTCGAATTCGTCTGGTCGCATGTTCATCGATTAATGAAGTAAAAAGACGAATCTACTATATATAGCTGAATATAGTTAGTTTCAGGAGCTAATAATGACAAAGCTAATTTGAGGAGCTAATTTGTCATTATTAGCTCCTGTTAGTTTATATATAGGTTACGTAAAGCACAATTCTGGTTCATGGTTGAACACACGTACAAGTGTCGTACACGTAGTAAGCATGTGTAATTCTACCATGGCGCCGACGTGATGTCTAGATACGAGCAATGTTTTGATCTAGGGGTTATAGGGTTATTTCATGTTATTGTTTCAACGCTTTGTTGTTTATTTCCATTGGAGGCACGTGCCATTTTTAACGAACTGTAGGAGTTGCATTTTAATTACATATATATATATAATATGACCTTATGCAGACACAATTTCCTTTTATTAGCCAGTATTATAAGTTACCAATTCATGCCAACAGATTCATACTGCCTATCTTCTTTCGCGATCTCGCGACTTACGAAACAATCATTCCGCAATAAAAGATTTAATGTTGCTGCTATGGGATGCATACTAGATGACAACACAACCTATAGAGCCTGGATAGAACAAACCCTAATGATTTACACGTACAGCCGTATTATTCTTTCCTAAGTGCGACCGCGCATCGCTGACAGTAAAAATAGTGATGAATAGCGCAGACTGTAAAATCCAGAGTAAAGTATATAGTAGGCCTAACGTACGTGCGACGAGGAATCGCGTTTTGTAGGAAGTCGAGCAGAGTGATGGATAAATCACAAATTAATTAATTTCTCACCCTCCCCCGTTGTAGATGAAATTACAAACTGTTTCATGTTAGTTCTTAGTTAGTCACTCATACAATTATAGGTTAAAACAGCACGCTGCACGCACTAAGATAATGCTTACCTTTTACATGTTATAATATAGCTAGCTGGATTGGCACGCCCATGCCCCAAATCACTTTTCAATATGAAATCTGCTGTTTGTCTAGAGTAAGTTCATATCTGCAGGTCAGCGGTAATATATATTTCTTTTTACGCAAATCTTGAGCGTAGTCCACGCGGACATTTAGCATTATAGGGAATCGCGACTTGCTTTCAACAGACACGGGCTGTGCCTACCACAGGCACTTGAAGCGTTTCAATAAAATATAATGCTAACTAAATACGAAATCTATTTACTACCAAATTCTTAATGTTTCTATACTCTCTTTCACCGTCCAAATCTTACGTCCAACCATACGCTGCCGGCGCCATTGCTTTCGCGGCGCGACTGTTAATTGCACGCTTTTACACTAATATATATATATATAGTGCACTATTGTACGTCGTGTACATACCTTTCTTTGAGTTTTTAATCTTTAACTGTCGCATATATTCTATTATAGAATATCTCGCAGCTCAGTACATATTGCAGTTAGAGATATTCCAATTATATAGTAATAGTATATATTACAACGTAGATTATGACAGTTTACAACGTGAAAACTAACCGGTTTATACCCATTTCCAGTGCGTCACTTACACAAATGAGTGCACGCAATGCTTGTATTCATATTAAATCTTTGTATATATTATTTATTTTATCGTTATATCTTAATAGTTTAAGACAATATTTCCCCTATCTTATTCCATTAAGTTCAAACAGATCATCGTGTGCAGCAAAATAGTGCTAATTTATTAGGGAAACGTCTGACGTAATACTAATAATAACAAAAATTCTTTTACTCTAACCATTTAAGATCATATAAAGGAAAGAAATTTTGTTACACACGCAATCGCGCAACATCTAGTATATTCACTACTAGCGTAGAATTGCTATGCATCATTAACATTATACGTGATGTAGGATGTATCGGGTGGGGAAGGCTACGCAGCGTAACGCCAGATGGAGAGCGGTAGAGATCGAGGAGGGAGAGCAGTGCATGCATGCAGACTGGAAGCACCCTTTGAACAATTAAACTGCATTGTCCCAGCACGCACCGTGTGCACTACGAAGCAATAAAGCATTACTGATTATAAGGGCCCACAAAGCGCCCACAACAAACACAACATGAAAGTCGTCCGGGTCAACGTTTGCCTACCTGCCAACGCTGACGGGATGCCCGGAGCTGGTCAACACTTAAAATTTTGCAGCACGGAACAAACAGGACTACTCCGTTATTTGTTTTGTAATAGGAACCTTGCGAAGTCTTTTATGTGCACACAGCTTAAAATCGCTGACGTCAACAGCCGCCTAAAGCCAGCTGTTTCTAACCCCCTTCTACCGCTCTTCAACCGTTGCATTTTGAGGAAGCCTCCAACAAACGGGAAAATGAAATGACAGGATTTATAGATATCCGAATTTTCAATTACGAGAGTGCGTGCACATGCGTGCGCGTGCGTATATACGTGCGCGTATATGCTCATTTGTGTATTATTTAGCAATTGCTAAATTAGTTAGAGTGCATAATACCTTCACTATTTAACATAATACAGCAATGCTACTTTAATTTGCAAAAGTAGGAAAAATTTTGGTAACAAAAATATAATATGTAGAAACAAACCACGTTTCACAAATATATATATGTATATATACATAAATATATATATACATATATATACACACACGGTATATATATATATAATACAAAGTCGAAAAAATTATCCAAACATACAACTATAAGACGATATTATTATTATTTTAAATAATATAAGTTTGAATGATTCATTATTAAAACATTTCCCCATAGTTAACTTAAACCTAAACTTTATAAAGTCGCAGAAGCACGTGCAATGCTACACTTACCCAACGAAGCCATGCGCTATGGGAACGTAGATTATGACTGCCACCAGCAGCAACAGCAAAATATTAAGTGAACATGATTGAATATGCATCCTGATGTATTGTTCCACGTGAAAACATCTTCCTGAGGAGAAAACGAAGGAGTACTACATCATCCTCTGCAAATCTCACGAGTGCATACACGTCCGATGTGTGCGTGTGTATGTCCATGCATATCTATACACAGTGTTCGTGCGTGAACACATGCGAGCTCAGCTCTAGGAACGTCTATAGCGTTTTGTCGGCGCACACGTGTTGTGCGCACGGTGGGGTTGTTCTGCCATGTACGACGAGTAACATCACTCTGTCGGCATCCCTCCCACACGCGGAGACGGTGAAAGGTAACGTCAACTACTCACCAGTGGCGGAGTGAAGCGTACACTCGCCTTGAGTAACCTGACGGATGTGATAGCCTGATAGGTCTAAAGGCTAATGCTGTGAGTAGACTACTAGCTCGGCCCAGCCTATAATGACAATCCTCATGCACAGACACGGACCAAATATGATGGCGCCGCCGAGTTCAAACTATTTGGACAGGTAGCATATACAGCTTTGACACAAAAGAATGCTTTTTCCCGGTCATTTTTCACAAGAATTCTTGTATATTGTATAATGAAGCAATCACCAATATATCTTTTCCAGACTTCTTTAGCAAAAACGAATACATACGTAGTTTTCGCTGCACTGCAAAAATACTGGTAAATGTTTTATTTTATTTTATTTTCCAGGAAGTTATGAGGCCTGGTTGACCCTATGCGGCTATGGTCATGTAGCGGCGTACCTGAGCATATATAGCACTCCCTGCAAGAGGGCTGGTGGCAAGGCATGAAGGCGTTCCACTGTTTTCCTTGACTCGAGTATTTGCAATTCATATCATGAATTTTATGGCTTTGTCACCAAGTAAATGTATACCCCTACTTGTGTGTGACAGACTGTGGCTGGTAGAGTCAATATCCCATTCATCATTCTGTTTAAATCGGTGTCAACAGCGGAGTGGTTCTGGCGTATAACAGTGAATGGTAGAAACGGATCCCATGTAGGTGTTGTCTGCTGACTAACATGTCAACATTGATGCAGCCCCGAAATGGATTCTAGCGATTTGAAGTTGAGTTTACACGGAAAGGTCAGTTATCTTTGTCGACGACCGGGTCGGAGTGATGGCTGTGAACGAGTAACTAACTGAATTAATAACCAACACACCTTAAAGTCCTTCTACTTTTAAG